AAAAAAAAAAAAAAAAAAAAAAAAAAAGCATGAAGAAATAGAGATGGACAACTCCTGCCTTGGGGCCGTTGGCTGGGGAAAGGAGGGGCTGGGCAGCAGTTAGAGAGGACAGGCTCCCCAGCAGGTGCTAACTGGACATCTGAGAGCAAGACAAATGAGAGGACCCCTTGTGGAGAGGAAAGCACTCTGCCTGCAGTACCTGAACACCTGGCACAGCACCTAAGCCCTCTGCTGCCACCTCCCTGGCCCCTCAATTCCTACCCAGCCTTCAGGGCGCATTCAATGCGACTTCTACCGCAAAGTCCTTCCCAGGCTCCCACAGTTGTCTTGCCTTCCGCCTTTGAATCCTTGTGGCAATAACACTTCTTATGCCCGCTCTTGTTTCAGATATTGGCATAGTTCTCTTTTCCTTGTTGCTAAATATGAAGCTCGCTGTGGCCGTGGGCTGCATTTCACTTCTCTCTGCATTTCTCAGGGTGCCTGGCACACAGCCTGAAGATGGGAACACTCAGCTGACTGCACTGGACCCCCCTTGGGTTATATCTGATGTGAGTCTGACAGCTTTCATCATCCAGTTTTGGACATCACAATCTCAATTTTTTTTTTTTTTTTGAGACGGAGTCTCGCTCTGTCACCTGGGCAAGAGTGCAGTAGTGTGACCTTGGCTCACTGCAACCTCCGCCTCCCGGATTCAAGCGATTCTCCTGCCTTAGCCTCTGGAGTAGCTGGGATTACAGGCACCCACCAACACGCCGGGCTAAGTTTTGAAGTTTTATCAGAGACGGGGTTTCACCATGTTGGCCAGGCTGGTCTCGAACCCCTGACCTTAAGTGATCCACCCACCTCGGCCTCCCACCGTGCCCAGCCCATAATCTCAATTTGATCTCACAGACAAATCCCAGAAGGATGAGAACAAATTTGAATCATCTTCCTCCTGCCTTGGTTGGACCACAGCATCATTGTGATATGATTCCCCTCTGGGAGTCCTGGCTCAGGGTGATGCTGCTAGAATAACTTTGAGGGCAGCAGCTGGGTGAGACATGGGACACACAGCCCACTGCTGGTCTTCTGAAAGGCTTGTCACAGTTTGACTGTGAATGTCTATAACAAGCTCATTCTTACTTTTGCTGAGGTTAATGTCAATCGCTGGCACTTCCATGCTCGTGTGTACAAGGGTAGCTAGCTAGCTTAGTTCTGTTGGTTTATTCAACAACCAACAAGAGCCTTCTGCAACTGGGCCCTGTGCTTGGAGCTGAGAATATGATGATAAACTAGACAGATATGGCCCTTGACCTCATGGAGCTACGTTCTAAGGGGAAGACAGACAACAAGAAAACAACTACGGGCCGGGTGTGGTGGTGCACACCTACAATCCTAGCACTTCCGAAGGCTGAAGTGGGCGTACTGCCTGAAGAGTTCGAGACTAGACTGGGCAACACAGTAAGACTCCATCTCTACTAAAATACAAAAAAAAAAAAAAAAAAAAAAATTAGCCAGGCATGGTGGTACATGCCTGTAATCCCAGCTAGTCAGGAGGCTGAGGCATGAGAATCACTTGAACCCAGGAAGTGGAGGTTGCAGTGAGCCGAGATCCTACCATGGCACTCCAGCCTGGGAAGAAAACAACTACGATTACAGCCTGAGAGAGGTGTGGTGAAGCAGTCAGGGCGCTGTGAGAAGGGCAGTGGGAAAGCATCGGAAACAGTGGGTAGCCCAGGAAGCGACCTGGAGGATGAGAAGGCGCTGCCCAGGCAAGAAATGAGGGAGACACTTCCTGGTCCAGAGGCCTATGGTGGGAAAGAGGCAGGTAGGTTCTGGGAGCTTTCAGAAGGCCTGTGTGGCTGAAGCACAGCAAGTCAGGCAGGGGTGGGGCTGGAAGAGGCTGCAGTCAGACTGCATAGAGCCCTTTTGGACGGGACAGGGAGTTGGATGTTTTGGAGCATTTTAAGCAGGCTGCTAACAGAATAGACCCCGGTGGACAACCTAATGTCTGTCCTCCCTGCAGCTCTGTTCTCTGCTTATTGCTTCTATTAGCAGTCATACTTAGGAAGGGACAAAAACTACTTCTTTATGGAGAATGATGTTCCCATAATGGAAGAAAAGAGAAAGCAGAGAGGCATAAGAAAGTGATAGTTATAGGCTAGGTATGGTGGCTCGTGCCTGTGATCCCAGCACTTCTAAGGTGGGAGGACGGCTTGAGTCCAGGAGTTCGAGACCAGCCTAGTCAATGTAGCAAGACTCTGACTCTTAAAAAATAAAAAATTTTGGCTGGTCGCAGTGACTCACCTTGTAATCCCAGCACTTTGGGGGGCCAAGGTGGGCAGATTACGAGGTCAGGAGTTTGAGACCAGCCTGGCCAACATAGTGAAACCCCATCTCCACTAAAAATAAAAAAATTAGCTGGGTATGGTGGTGGGCGCCTATAATCTCAGCTACTCAGGAGGCTGAGGCAGGAGAATTGCTTGAACCCGGGAGGCGGAGGTTGCAGTGAGCTGAGATCACGCCACTGCACTCCAGCCTGGCAACAGAGCTAGACTCTGTCTCAAAAAAAAAAAAAAAAAAAAAAAAAAAAA